AATGTAAAGTTACTTATTGCAAATATTAATTCACCCCAAGAAATTATACATTTTAAATCAAAATTTGTTTATTCGAGGTACTTATAAGGAATGTTTTTACAGTTTGAAAAAAGAACAACAAAATCTGCCTTTGACTTGTTTATCGTGTTGAACGTGACGTAGACCCCCCACACTTAGAAATAGCGCATCCGTGTTGCCCACATTTGGAGCAATCGCAAAGGCCAACCCAACCGGAGTGCAATAGAAGGGCATCTCTCTGGGAGAATTTGGTGTAAGTTTTAGTAAATATAAATTCGTTTTATTTTGGGGTGAATTAACAGAAAAGTTCTAAAAATGTCCCCCCAAAGTACACAAGTGAGATATCCTAAGTTTTAAAGAAAATACTATGCGAATATCAAATACTTAACAATTCTTGTTCCATAGAAACCAGTTGGATCATAATTTTGATCTGAAAGGCGACTTTTAATAAAAAGAACGTACACAATTTATTCAAATGAATATACAGGCTGTTCCAGAAGTTTCATTAACATTGATAACATTGTAAATTTTATATTTATTTACTAAATAGAATCGTGTTTCTGGATGTGACAATATATTATTAAGAAATTTTATTGGTCGAATTATAGAAGATGACCTCATGCAAATTTTTCCTGATTGCTATTTCACAAATGTATGTCTTCTGCCAATTGTTGCGTGACTTTTAGAATACCCTATACATTGAATGTACTATAATTTAAGAGTCCCATATGATTAATAGACGGCCAGGCAAAGTAACTATATCTCCATTTCTTACTAAATCATACTTATTATAAAACCCAGGTTGTGTCTGTACGTTTATATATTGGATCGGATTTCCTAGATTTTTCAACCAATTTCAACAAAACTTCACAGGACTACGTAAAATTACCTTGCGGTGGTTCTGACAGTGCCAAAAATTAGAAAAACAATTGTTTTTGCACGAAATCAATTTGAAAACACGATTAAGAGGCATCGCGAAAATGAAAGGGGAACAACTCATATCGATTTACACTTATCATAAAACCCAGGTTGTTTGTTTGTGTGTGTGTGCGTTCGCTTATATATGGGATCGGATTTCCTACAAAACTTCACTTTTTTTTGGCAGGTAGTGTTTCTTATTGTCTTGTACACTTTTTTCTTTATTTTTAAAAATGATTTAAAAATTCCATTTACAATTTTATAACAAAATTCTATTTATAATGATTGAAAATAATGTTTTTGTTTGAGTTTGACCAATTGGTAAAAAAAAAAAAAAAAAAAAAAACTAATTAAGACATGCGTGTCCGTCAACTTTAAACAATAATCTTTGTCAATTTTATTTTTCAGTCTTTATGATGGTCGATAATTGATTTATCTCTTACTGTTATATCCCCAGGCAACGCTGGGCTCTACTGCTAGTTAGTAATATAAGAATGTGTGAAAATTAAAAAGAAATAACTTAGTAAAATTAGTTAAATCAAATTTTTATAACTGTTTTTTTTTTCTTTTTTTTAATTAGTTTAGAAGATTAAAGTAACAATTTTTCTTTTTGTAAACTAGATATATTTTTTAAAAATAGTTTTTTATGACGACGGATTACTGTCAAAATGGGTAACAAAAAACCTGCTTCTTGATTGTGGTAAATGTGTGTATGTGTATATATATATATATATATATATATATATATATATATATGCTTTTAAGTAAACGACTTTTCAGTTCGTTTAAAATTGTTAGGTACAGTCATGATTGTAGTATGTCCTGCTTTATATCTGATCAATTAGAGGAAGTGGCCAATTTTCAAAATAAAACCTTGCAAGTTACCTTTTAACATCGATTTATAAAGAATTTTCTCACTCTCGCTTTCTTTCTCTCTTTCGCTTCTTTCTCTCTCTTGCTCTCTCTCTCTCTCGCTTTCTTTCTCTCTCTTGCTCTCTCTCTCTCGCTTTCTTTCTCTCTCTCTCGCTCTCTTTTTCTCGCACACACACACACACACACACACACACACACACACACACATATATATATATGGTCGAACTTATTACAATAGTGAATTGTTTTGCGCGGTGTATACCATATTTTTATGATAGACATTATGGTTATTTTTAAATTTTAGCGTTAGTTTTGCGAACCTACGAAAGGCGTTTCATTTTATTTTATAAGTCAAATATCTAACTACTCAATAGTAGACCACTCAGTAAGAATCGTACTCGTTACAATAGTTTAAGTCTACAAGACTAACTTGCTAATCTTTGCTCTATGGCGAGGCAAGTTCTATCGAGGGATGCACATTGGCTATGTTTTTGTCTGTTATTACCTGCATGTGCATAATTGACGGATTTGAGATAAATTTTCTGACCCCCAAGACGATCCCGATTATTAATTTTTTTTTTATCCATTGGATGATTTTCCTATCCTACTTTTTATTAAGACCACCTGGTTATTGCACGTTGAGAAAAAATCGAACCCCCACGATTTTTAAGACCACCTTTGTATTAGACACCTAAGTTGTAAGCAGAAAGGAATTGAAAATTGATCTGTCAGAATAAAATTGTCCACATGAAACTTATGAAAAAATATTTTGTTTTTAAATTTTTTTCCAGCTGCAAAAAATGTTCTTATCACAAACTGGCGTTTCTTCACTAACGATATTAGGTACCCTATTTCATTACCATCAATGTCACTACCTCTTTTTTTCTGTCGATTGGCGCATGCGCTACGATGAAACTTTAATTATCTGATAAGCTCCAAAAATACAGGCACGCGCGACCGTAATACCAAAAGGTCTTTTCAAGTCATTTTTCGGTTATAACTGCACGAATTACTGGTCTCGCCGAAATTTAATTTAATTAGACAAAACTATTTATTTTTGAAAATTGTTTTAGTAGAACAAGATTGACCATTTAGTGGAAGAATGTCCTTCCGGATTCAAGCGGCTACCGTATCCTATCGTGTACAAGTCGACTTAAAAATATACTGCACAATACGTTGATGATAAGATGATGTAACTGTATTTGTGTTGAAATTTCTGGCTTTACAGTATAAATTATTGTAATATTTGGTAAAGATTTTGTTTTTGGCATTCACTGCTTCAACCTAACTGACGTTCCGTGTAGAAAATGTTAAAGGCATTTTGGCGAGTATCAGGAAATGTTTTGGACGCTATGTAATGGCGTGAAATCAGCATATTTTCTTTAGCCATGCCATTAACAATGATGATTTTGTTAAATCCTTAACATTATTATTACGTTTTCCTATATGAGTTTTAAATACACTAATAGAAAGTATTCGTTCTTTTAAGGAATACGATATTTATAGTTTGTTTTGTTTTACGGCATATCAACTTGAATGGGTTATTTAATTATTTTTTTCCCCAAAAATGTATGCTGGTAATGTTTTTTTTCCTCAAAAACTTATTGATGATAATAATTTTTACAAAGTATTTCTGGTATTAAATCCTATTTTCACACTTTCATGGTGTTTTGGCCCCAGTTTGGGAGTTAACTATTTGCTCACAGGTGGGACTCTAACAGGGGCTACCACCCCGGGTCAGTGTGAAACTGGGAACACAGGCAATTAAGAGGTCGTTCCACGCTCCTCAAAACCTCCGAGGCCTTGCTGTTGGACGTAGATTATCGTCTTATCCAGGATGCGGATGTAGTTTATCGTCATACCCAGGACGGGCGATATTTATGTTCAGAATGATATCGGATGGAGCAATACAAATACAATTTCATGGATTATAAAAAAGCGTTTGATAAAGATGGACTGTTGGGATGCGAGATAAGCTTGATAAGTGTTATGGTCTGGTTCCTTGTACCACGGTGATAACCCAAGGTAGAACCAATAAAAAAGAACTCCAACACGTATATAGAATAACATAGATAAAACAGGAATATATACAGAGAAGTAGAAAGTGTTAGTACGAACAATCAGGTTTAGTAGTACTTGTCTGAACGCGACTCTGTTTCGGACTGCCTCTGACTCGACTGACTGACAGTCAGTCAGTCAGAGCGAGCGAGTCAGACAGACTTCTGAGGGATTTCACTCCAGACTGAACAGTATTTAGTCACCCCGCCACGAGGGCATCATGTGGCACAAAGCCGGTTTAACGTGGGATTTCCGAGCCCGTGGGCTCGGCCAAAAATATGCTCTTTGAACCCGTATAAACGGGTTCAGGGTCGGTTTACCTCCCCGAAAGAGACTTCGCCCTTCGACGTAGCCTCGATCGGGTTCCTCCCCGCCCGAAGGCAGAGAGTTCAATCGATCAGCCGGTAGCCCGACTTCGGTCTGAACTCCCTGCTTCCTCTTGAGGCGCAGTATTTATTACGTATGGAATGGTCCATTATGTTATTATGGGTAAGGTCCCATAATAATAAGGACGTTAGAAAAATCCAGAACTTATATCGGGAGGAAACCGCCTTCATAAGGATAGAAAATGAATTCAATGAACATACAAAAATAGAAAGTGGTGTAAGACAATGATGTGCCTTCTCGTCGGATTTATTCAACCATTACAGTGAAGTGATTCTGAGAGAATTAGAATTCCTACCAGGATTTATTATTTATCGGTCACAGTGTTAACAAGCTTAGATATGCAGGAATATTTTCTGATGCCACTCAAGCCGAAGAACGCTGACGTTGTGGATATATCACTTGACTGGTTATCTCTGTTGGGTTTTCGAATCAAAGTAGAATTCATTTGTTATTTTTTATTTCTGTTTGCTGTCTTCAGAAAATTGAATGACAGATTCATTTTCTACGGTTTATCAAGCCTTTACGTGTTATTTAAGGCCAGAAAATATTTTTGATTTAATTTAAGTTTTTTGAGATAATAATTATTTTATTATACAAGTCTCAGTAATTAATCCATAGCTGGGGGGAGAAGAGGTGGATTCATAACTTTACCAAGAGCATTTGCGGGTAACTGAAATTGGAACTCGGCTCTCCAATTAACAATTCCGAACCATTATCTATTACATCACTCACACATCCATGCTTAGAGCATCTGGTATTCTCAAGCAGTCACCCATCTAAGTACTGACCAGGCTCAACGTTGTTTAACTTCGGTGATCGTACGGGAACCGGTGTTTCAAAGTTATTTGACCGTAAGCTCTTTATTGGTAGAAGGTTATAAAGAAAATATACAAATCCATTTTCTATAAACTTCAAAAATTTAGAATGACAGTTTTCTTGGTGAATGTAATTGATTTCTTGATTCAGAAACACACGACTTCGTCTTATACTAGAAATAACAGGTGACTGACACTTGTCTTGTACAAAAGTATACGTTAGAGAGCTGGGTCACCTTCGTTCACCAAACAAAATATATTTAAATGTATTTTTGAAGATTGAGTAATAGTAAAAGTTAAGATTAGTGGTTCGAGGTGCAATTTGTTACGTCAGTGGTAATGAGTAGCTTTTACCAGGAAAAGCGGAGCTTGTTTCTACTTGGTTGGTTTTGTTTGTTGATTCTGGCCGGCTGTTCTTTTGAAATAATACCTTGTTCATTAGATCTAAATCATCAAGACGGAATGTCTTCCTGAGACACATAACTAATAATCTTATAGCTAATAAACTGACAGGTGAATGTATATTCTTTTAGAACCGGTTTGAGCCTCGTAGAATATGTTTGACGACTTTCTTGGAGAGCTCTTTTGAAATTTGGTTTCATGCTTTTATCATGGTATTCTACTCCTGTCGGGCCATCCATGACGGTAAGGTCGAAGAGGAGGAAGCAAACTGAACGCGACCAACCCCCGAAGACCTAAACAGTGGAATAGGCAAAGATCTACACGATCTCAACGGCCAAACAGGTGGAAGAAGGCAGTGCCAATCGGGATGGTGTAACCAAGGTGGACCTTGACAGACCAAGCATCCGACAGTCCGATGCAACCAGGTTTCGCCAGATCTCGCCTGTCAGCAACCCCCTTTCAGCTGCGAGGGAGGCGCTTCTGGACATTTGTGTGGGCTTCACCGTCGCGCAGAGTTTGTCTACCAAAATCAAATTCACGCGAATGGCCACGTCAAACTCTTTGATTCACAGCCATCTCCACCACCGCTTGTGTCAGGAGAGAGAAGGGGAATAGGGAGAGAGGATGACGGACCCAATGTTCGGATTCGAGCGGGTACCAACAATATGGCATTCTTCAATTCTTTTACTTGGTTGGTTGCATATCCAAGATTCGACTCTCGCTTTCCACCACATGCAAAAGGTACTCTATAGTATTGAAATCCCGTGGCTGTTTAGGTAAACAGAAAATTCACTACTTCATGAACCAATCTACCATTATTTTTTTTTATTTATTATACATGACGCTGTTCAGCTTGAAGAGGTGTATCGTGGTCATAAGGCATGTAGCTATCCATAGTACATAGGTGCGGCATTTAAACGATTATTTATTGATGCCAAAGATCAAGGAAATATTTCCCATACCATTAAACCACAACCAACAACCTGAATCTCTGATACAAAGCAGGATGGGTCCATACATTCATGTTGTTTATGCCAAATTCTGGCCCTGCTCTCCGGATGTCGCTACAGAAATCGAGACTCATCCGATCAGGTAATGTTTTTCCAATCTTCTATTGTCCGGGTTTTGTGACCTTTAGCGAATTGTAGACTCAGTTCTTATCTGACAGAAATGGCACCCAGCGTGGTCTTGTATTGCAGTCCGTCTACTTCATGGGTCGATGTGTTGTGTATGCAGAGATGCTTTTCTATATACCTTCTTTGTAAAGAGCTGTTATTTACGCTACTGTTGCCTTTATATAAGCTTGAACCAGTATAACCATTCTCCTCCTACCTATTTCATGAAGAAGGGGGGTTTTTTGCCCACAGAAACACTGCTCACTGAAACAGCTTTTTTTTCTAACCGTTCTTTGTAAACCCTATAGATGGTTGTGCGTTAAACTCCGAATAGACCAGCAGTATTTGAAATACTCACACCCTCCCTCTGGCACCAACGACCATGCCGTGTTCAAAGTCACAAAAATATCTTTTTCTCAATGCATGAAATGGAATTCAGCAAGTACACTTGTTTAAATGCCTGTATCCAATAAATTGCTGCCATATGAATGACTGATTAGAAATGTGCATAAAAGTATTTGTTCACGTGTACCCGAGGTTCTATTTCCAAAGCTTTATCTTTGGTCTGGAACAATAGAGCGTTATACAATTTAAGTAGAAGGACTGGCACAACGCAATCTTTTGTTCCCTTGCAAAACTAAGCTAAAACATTACGCATGCGTATTAACTTTAATACCATATTACGTTGGTCTCTGATGTCAAATACGGATGTTTGTTGTATGGAAGTAGGTAAATCGTCCCGTTTGTCACTCGTTTTTATTTTTTACCTTGTTACAAATAACAGCCGAGTGGCAGTCTGCCCAAATGGTGTCTGATACGAAAGGGTATACGAAACAGATGTATATCATTGTATTCCTCCATGTGGATAAAATTACACCCATTGACCTTTTTAACCATTATTGCTTAATATTTATGGAGACGAAACAGTTGGTTCAATCATAGTTAGTCTGTGATTAATGAGTTTCAGAATGGCAATAGTGATGTGTGTGACAAGCCATTTTCTGGGTGTCCCTATAGTTGTCAACTCATGACATGCATTTTGTGTTTTTATTCCGATTGATTGATTCGTTTTATACAGCTTTGCAGGTTATTTAAATCCTGAAAATATTTTTAGATTGTAAGAATTTTTTAGATATTAATGGTTTAGTGATACAAGTTTTAATAATTAACCCATAGCTGGGGCAGAAGGTATAGATTCATACCCTTCCTAACGGCCCAACCTTTCTCAACGGTATTTGCGCGTAAGTGAATATAACTAACCCAACTGGAAAGAACTTGTATCTCCGATTAGCAATTCCGAGCTAGTATTCATTACACCACCCGCACATCCACGCTTACTGAACCTGGTATTCCTAAGCGTTCACCCGTCTAGGTACTGACCAGCATCGACGTTGCTTAACTTTGATGATAGTACGGGAACTGGTGTTGCAAGGTGATATGGCCGTAAGCAGGCTCTTGGTCATCGCTAATAAAAAATATATAGTCAAGGGTAGTGACTATTATTGTTTTGTAGCTGAAGACGTGATTTATCCGACGGTGTTATTGTCCTCGCTGCATTTGTTGTCGTTTCAGCGGAAATAAATAAGATGCATTACTTTTGGAGCGTCTCCCGTATTCTTACAAACAGGTATTTGTGATACTTGTCTTAGTCTGCCACAAATACATAGTGATGCAGTTCGTGATGATTGAATTATCGAGATAAGTTGGTTAATCATCACTCGGTAGCGGGTGTTCCATACTTTGTTAAATGAGGAATTGATATAGGAAGATTGCGAAGAATACAAATGTGAAACCAGACACCGTATATGTAAATCTAGATGGGACATCAAAATGTCGTAATTAGGATCGAGGCAATGAAATCAGAAATGGCGGATCATGTATAAAATGAAAAACAATGTCACCAACTCCTGTGGAATTAAGTAATAAATATATAATAATAAATAAGAAATACTGGATAGTCATACATAAGCCAGACTAGGAATGCTTCTTCAGCAGGCCTAACATAGAAATAAATACAATATGGGAAACATTAATGAATAGGAAAAAAAGCAGCAGTAAGAAAAGAGAAACCGCGATAAATCCTGCCAAGAGTGACACAACAAAGCGGGTATATTAGATTTATGCCTCCAAGTTCTACAATCGTGTTATCCCACGGGACAGTAGCATTGTGGATTAATTTGTTGCATTGTGAACTTGGTAACATTGTAATTGTTAATTCAACCCCTGACCTGGATAGTGCAGGGCGGTCAGTAAGTGAGCAACTACAAATAAGCACAAAATACATAAAGATTTCAGTTCAAAATTCCCTGAAGATTGCCCCGATCGACAAGGACATAGCTCCGAAACGTTGTGATAATAACATGAAGTTGTTATTGACTGAATTTAAAAAAAAATGTAAATATTTGAAGACTGTGATTTAGAAAATCAGCATTCACAATTCTTATTTTAACGTAACTCGAAAACCGGCGTTGACTAGTACGCAATGTAATACTACAGGGCGTTTCACAATTGTTTAAACAAAGCAGCGGCCTCTCAGATGGGGAGAGCTCAAGGAGCATGAAGAGGAGCAGTGGTTCCAGCAAGATTGTGCTCCTCCTCGCACTACTAATGTTACCACGGCATGGCTCCGTGAAAAATTTTGGGAGCGTTTCATCAGCCGCATAGCGGAAGTGGAATGGGAACCTCACTAGCCTGACCTGAACCACCCCAGATTTCATCCTGTGGGGATTCCTCAAGGACAGCATCTACCAAGGCAACCTTCGTACCATTGCTGCATTCAAAGCAGCCATCACTGAGAAGATTCAATTGATCACTCAGGAGTAATGTGCACGCACTATCAACAACTTTGCATTCAACGGTGCCTTCAATTAAACAGCGGGCATCTGGAGCATATAATATAAAGGTTCCTCTTGACATTTTTGGTTCATGTTTGAGACTAAATGGTTCCAGATCCTAAAATGTTATTCTTTTACCTGTCAATAAATGTAATTTCCATTACTCTATCATTTGTGGTCCTTGATTTGTGTCGCATCATTTTGTTTAAAAAATTATGCAACGTCCTGTAATTTACATGAATACGTGTAATTTCTAAAGACGTCATGGATTTTTATTTATTAATCCGACAAATTTTATTACTTTAGTGGATACTCATATTTGAGCAGACGCAACTGAGAAGATATATTTCGAGAGCCTGGGAAAGATTTGCGTTTATAAATTACTATTCAACTTTGCTCGATCATCGACGCACTTCGTGGCCGAGAGTTCTAAAGTACGTCGGATCTAGACGGTTTCTCCTGTCCAGGTGTCATAGGTTTGAATCCTGTTGGGGAGCGCATATTTCTTTTTAATAAGATTTCTCGAATGTTCAGGCCGGTAGATGAAAATAAATAAATGGAGCGTCTATTTAACATCGCGACAGCTATTAGGGAGATGTGATTAAATATACTTTAATGTTTAAGAATTATTCAGTATTAGTATTGCTTACGTAATAAGCTTTATAACATAATACAAAATAGCTATAG